TTTTTTTGGTCCGGACTCAGGACATTTGTGCGACCCGGGAACCGGTCCAGACTGTCCGGGTCCAGTGATGTCCGGTGTCAGGTGATATCCGGATCACCGGACAGTCCGGACCGGTCCAGACACTGGTCCGGAAGACAGTCCGGAAGTGTCCGGTGTCCGGGTCCGGGGTTACCATATGGCATTTTGGATAATTTGGAAGAAATTGATACATTCATCCAAGTTGTGAAACAGCCGCACCGCCAATTGGAACTGTTGGCTGAACGGGACCCGCCAACCACCCCGATCAACGATTTCTTACCCTACATCGGAGAGCTGTTGACCTGGTAGAACCACCGACAAGCATTTTTTTTTCTTTTTTCTTTTTCGTGTAATTAGGACCACCAACGAGCCTGACGAAACTTTTCTTACACAAGCGGTTTATACAGTGGTGGGGAACGATTTCTCACCCTTCGTTTTTCTTTTTCTGACAGTGATCAATTTTGTAATCAGGTCGCATTGTCAGGGAAAATGATTGGAAAAAAAAAAAAAAACAAAAAAAAAAAACATAGTCAGATATGTCTAGACTCTTGAGAGAGTCAAATCTGTATGGATGGGGCGGTCTATATTCCACTATGAAGGTGTTGAGTCTGTTGACCATTGTCAGGCAGTTGAAATGTATTGAGGAAAAATTTATAAGGTTATGGGAGAAGCAGCAGAAGAAAAGAGCCCCGCGTGGAGAGGACGGGAGGAGGGAACAACCAAGAGCACAAATGAGAGTCTCACCTGTTGCTGCCTCACTTCCTGACGAACTTGGCCATCCAATCTGCAAGGATGATGACCTTTCTCGTCTAGATAGTAATCAAGAATATCCAGCATCCGGGTCATCTGTGAGAAGATCAGTACCTGTGACACCCATGAAACACACAAATTTCGTGACATTTCTCAAAATTATGCATGTCATTTGGCCAAATGAAAACACTCTTTTATACTGTTAAAGCTATTTCGACCAATAAATGTACGAATGCGGTCGTGAATGTGCACTGAGTTCCTACTAATCAATCGAGTGTGTGTGGATGTGAGCTAAAGAAGAACGGTAACCATGAGAGAGAATTGAGGAAGACCGAGTAACTTACGGAACGTCCGATCCTTGCATGCATAGCGTGCACAGCTGAACTCCTATCTTACACGATTGTTCAGGCTACTTGACCGCTATTCGGTGTCGTCTTTCTTATTAATCTATACTGTATATTACTATATTCTGACAATTTTCTCTTCAAACAATAATGGAACGAGTGTGATCCCTGCATGCATAGCATGCACAGCTGAACTCGTGACTTACACGATTGTTCGAGCTATACTTGACCGCTGAGTGGTGCTGTCTTTCTTATTATCAAGTTATTATTAAGTTATGAATCTATACTGTATATTCTCACAATTTTCTCTTCGAACAATAATTGTACGGCTGTGGACTTTTGTTGGAGCTTCCGTCTCCTTGGCAAACTTCCTAAAATTGTTTGTTTTTTTTTAACTTTTTTGAAGTTTTTTCCCAAATTTCCCTCGCAATAAATCCAGGAGCATACCTGTAAGTTGCCCACCCAATCGACAAGTCCACATAAGAACAACCAAACGCATATGCTATATCCAAGACGTACAAAATTCCGTAAATAAATATAAATGTGGCCGACTCCCACCCCCATAGGGCAGGCTCTGGAATAAACCCTATGTAAATGTGGCCATCCCTCCCCAAATAGGGTAGGCTGAAGCATTAACTAACCTGTGTCACAATCTCCCTCCGCCGACCACCCCAGCAATCGGCCAGCATAAATGACAAACCAGAAAATTCCACCGCAGATCAAAAAGTATTGCCACTTCATGCCAGCCCTGTCACCCCAGCAATCGGCCAGCATCTTTCAATCCGGGCCGATCAGTACTACAACGAGGGCACTCTACATGGTAGCCATAAGTGGTAGCCAATGAGCAGATGCCATGATCCCATAGGGATCCAATGATGAAGAAACCACATTGACAACAGCACAGAGTAATGCAACATCACAAACATTGGAGTAGAATGCAGCGGTGACGGGGAAGAGAATAAAGTCTTTTTATGTCCATTCAATTGTGTGAGAGAACAAAGGGTTAAAAAATCTTTTTCTTCGCCATCTCTCCTCCTCCTCTTATATTCTCCCTCCCCATTCATGACAGGATTCACGAATCTCACTACCCCTGGTTCAGTCCCAGTCCCGAGTCCCAGGTCCCAGTCCCAAATCCCAGGTCCCTGTTCCAAGCCCCAGGTCCCAGGTCCCAGTGCCCATTCAATCGAGTCATATTTTCATGCGAATCTCATTTATTGACGTAGGTTATTATGGAAAATAACTGCAGTACCTTTCCATACGTGGGCACCTGATGTATACAAGGGTTCTCCTACTTTTGCCAACCTTTTTTTTTTTTTTTTTTTTTTTAACACCTAAGATTGCTGTTCTTGCAAATATGTAACATGCGTTTCTTTTTATGTTACGCCAACGACTTTGATATGTTACACACGTCAAGTGCGCAGCATGTGCTAAGAAAAAAGCAAAAATTTCCACAAAAACAAAAAGTGCGCAGCATGTTCTTCAGATCTTTGATCATAGAGGCTATCACGGTAGAATCAGTGATTAGGTGACGCCGTAACAAGGTAGCCGTAGGGGAACCTGCCACAGGATTGCCTACTTTCCAATATACATACGCAGATTTGATTGAATGTCGGTCAATCAGACCAATTACCAAAGGCGCAAAGCACAAATCCGAGTATTCGGGTACACTGTTGTAGGATGTCAAAACACCCGATCCCATTCTGATGTCGATCCATGAAATCGTCTTACGCCATATGTACTAAGTTAATTTGGGAGACATGGTCCAACCCCGGTCCCTGGCTCACAAAAAAGCGCCGGTCAAACTTGCTAGAATAGAGGCTCCCCATGTCCCGAGACGAAATAGTCAATACTGGAACGCTTTCTTCTAGTAAAAAAAAAAACATAATCAGTGAGTACGGGATCCAATGTCTCATCTTTCTTGCGTGGACTCGCTAAAGTCAGGCCTTTTTTGGCTTCGCCCACTTCATGTCCTGAGGTTGCCGAGAAGACCACAGGGGAAACTGGTCACTTGATCGAGAGAAACCCCGCAAAACAAGTAAGAGAACACAAAGCACACTCGAAAGTCCACAAATAGGACTCCGTACTTGGTCACCGGGCTCATTGGAACCACCAGCATGTTTCCCAGCCATCTTTTCGGAATCGCGGCGTGCATGCTCCAGCAACTGTCGAGAAGTACCGGGGTGTTGTTTCGCTGAACATTCATCCAGGCAAACGGGCCTCGCATGCAACCCATTTGCCTGGATAGTTGTGCCGTGAAACAGCACCCCAGGACTTCGCGAGAGACATAGCAGCATGCACGCCACGACTCGAAAAAAATGGCTGAGAAACGTACTGGTGGTTCAAGCTTTCCTGGCTTGAACATTTGACTTTCCTTTATGCACCCAATAAGACTGTTTCCTTCCAAAGAATGTATGGTCACCCATCTTGTTTTCCTAATCCGGGTCAGTAGTCAAATCCTGACTTCCATGCACCATCCCCTCAAAATATGCCTAAGCTTTCAATTGTTAAACCACCAGTACTTGGCCCAGCTATCGACCATGAAAAAAATAGAGTAGAAATGTTTCTAGACGGATGAATTTGGGCGCGCCTGTAGTGGCCCATACATTTCCTAAAATCGTGGCTCGTTAACTGGCACTACTTTAGGAACTACTGGTGGTTTAAACCACCAGTTCAAGCCCGCTTATTTCCCCACTGTCTGCAGTAAACTGAAGAAGGGTGTGGGCCTTTTGCTGGCGGGCCGGTGAAAGGTCGGCAGTGAAGTCCAGCCGGGCCCAATTTCAATCAGTATCCGGCTTACCGGGTTCAAATGCAGGGTGGCCACATATGTGAAAACAGTTGTTCGTCCAGACTGTAATGCCCAGTAGACGGAAAGGAAAAAAAAAAACAAAGCGGACAACAACAACAAAAAAACAAAAAAAAAGGGCCCGTAGCATGGTAATGAAGACGTAAAAAAATTGTAACGGCCCACTGCGCCGCCATTGTCGTTTTCAGAATGTTACACACACACACACACAGAGAGAGAGAGAGAGAGAGAGAGAGAGAGAGAGAGAGAGAGAGAGAGAGAGAGAGAGAGAGAGAGAGAGAGAGAGAGAGAGAGAGAGACGGGCATGAGGACCTCGCTCCAGTACTCACCACATGCACAAAAGACAAAAGGTATGGCGGTGTATCTTCCAATGGTCACATTCTCATTTTGCACAGTTGGTGAGCAGTGCAGAGGCGCCCTTGGCCGCAGCAGAGCTTGGCAGCCGTAGCAGCCTTCGACATCGCATATGCTTGCGTATCTTCCCGATTAGAGAAGATACGCACGCATATGCGATGTGGAACCCCGCACGACTGCCAAGCTCTCCAGCGACTATTGCCCGTTGCTCTCTCTCTCTCTCTCTCTCTCTCTCACACACACACACACACACACACACACACACGCACACACACACACACACACACACAAACACACACACACACACACACACACACCACCGCAGCCACAAAAACTGCGCTGTTCGCTGTGTTGTCTAGCGGCACTGGCTTTTTTTTCTCTTTTTTTTGGTGCTGTTTTCCATATCCGCGCTAAGCGTGCACGCGCATGTGCGTGCACACACACACACACACACACACACACACACACACACAATCAGTTTTATGTCTGTCAGTCATTCTTCTGTTGCCTCCCTCTGAATTTTTTCTTGTTTTTTTGGGTGCCCAACTGAGCATCCTTGAGTAGTGCCAAACAGTCGGTGGTTCCTCGTCTGGAGTGCCTGACGCACTCTTAGGGGGGCCGCTCCGTACGGGATGTCTGTGTTGCCTGTGGGTGATGAAGGATACTCGTCGGAGTGACTCCCTGGCTCAGTGGGTGGTGGGAACCAACAGTCTGCCGGGTTCAATTGTGATATGAGTATGTCATGTGCCGCTTTGCTCCGTGTTGGATGTGTGGACTGCCTCGTCTGAGCTCTGCCGCTGCCTTGCTGCCTGTCCCGCTGGCTTCACATGTGGTTCTCTGCAAATTGCTGTGTTCGCTGCGTAGTGTGGCCGAGTTGTTGGTGTTGCCTTGCACTTCGCTGCTCCGCTGCTCCACTGCTCCGCTAACCTGCCGCTCATCTCCGAGTACCAGCGGTCGCTGGCTGTGCCTTCCGCGTTTGCCGCTTGTGTGCCTTGTAGGTTGGTTGCCTTGTTGCTGGTGCCCTGTGCTTCACCGCACTTGCCGAGCTGCTGGTCCACTCGCCTTGTCGCCCCTTGCAGTGTGGTTGCCTTGTTTGTGTTGTCTTGTGCTTCACTACATGGTTGTCCCGCTGCATGTCCTGCGTGCCTTGTCGTTCTTTGCAGTCGTTTTTGGCGTTGTGCTACCACGTTACCTCTACTGCGTTGCCTGGTGCTCCACAGGGTTGCTGCCCAGTGCTATATCCCGCTTTGGGGCAGTCTGCCTTCAACAAGGGTCAAAGGGTTCATGACCCAAACCATCAAATACCGAGATTCCGCAGATTGTCGAGGGCTCAGCTTCCTGATGAGTCTGCGGAACTCCAACGAAACAATCTATCATCAGTTTTATTTTTTTCGCTTTTTTTGCTACTTGTTCTTTTATCTGCTTTGTTGTCTTGTTGCCTTGCTGCTTCTCAACTTCCTGTCCGTTCCTTCCTTGCTTAGTGTTGTTTGTCTGCCCACCCGCCTCCCCCATGCCCTTCAGCCTACGTTCCGTGCTGTTGCTTCACAGACCTAGTGCTACTCCTTGACTTGTTGCCGCCTCATTCTTCTGCCTAGTGCTGTTTGTCTGCCCGC